AATTGTGGTGGAAATAAATGTAAGTAGCATCAGATTTTTTTGAAGCATTTTAACCGTGTTTAAGTGTACCACCCAGTGGCACTAAGTGTGCCACACTCTTGTGAAAATGTCACCACAGTCTGTCTCCAGGACTTTGGCATCTTCCCAAACTGAAACTACCAATTAATACAAACACTGGTCCTGTACCACCACCACCAAAATCTTCCCTTCCCATCTTCCTGTCCCACTGTCACTCATCACCTCTTCCCTCAGCCTCTGTGAGCCCGACTAGCTCCCGTTGCTGTTACACAGCACTAATCATTTAGGTCTTCACATGATTTCTTTAACACACACACACACACACACACAGACACGCCGTTTGAATTCTTGTTTATTTCTTTCAGAGTTCCCAGTATATAAATGGGAATGACTGAGCTTTCTCCTCCGGGAATGACTGAGCTTTCTCTTCCTACCTAGTAGCTGTAGATACAGAAAGAGAGGTGCCCAAGGATTGGATTGTTCCAACTGAGCAATTAATAAGTTTGCCTAAGAAAGCTAAATCTGATATTTTTTTTAAAGTGCCCATTTGCCCCAATCCATGTACCCTGTGTGCAGGGAGATGCTCTGAAAGGGAGCCACAATGTCTCTGAGTCTCCCAGCCAAGGTCTTCTGGAACCAAGGGAAGAAGCCAGGGTGAGCCGTGTCATCCACACCATGCATCCACAGACCAGCTCCCGCTCACGGGATGTGGGAAGTCATTTGTCCAATCACTATTCCCCGAGGAAAAATCTCACATACTCTCTGTGCCTAGACACCCACCCCAAGGCCATCGTGGATGACCCCACCCCCCACCTGTGTGCCCAGTACACAGAAGACTTAAGAAGAGGTTCACTGCTAAGAAGCCCTGCGGGGGTTAGCCTAAGCAAATGCTCTCCCCCTTAGGGCCCATGAACACCTTACCCCATTGCCACTGTGACAGTCAAACATCAATAGTCTCAAGACTCATAAGTATTTTACAGCAGCTTTCTTGGCACTGCGAGCAGCATGGTAGTTCTCATGAATATTTTTGAGATTCATTGAAAAGGACAGAAAAACATATAAAGCATGCGTGAAGGAAAACTTCCCTAGAAGCCTTTATTTATACAAATGCATAACTCTGTTAACACCTTCCCATTCTTCCCTCCTGCTGTTATTTTTTTTAATCCTATTTCTTGGATCTAAAAACCCATGGGAATTATGCCCAAAACCCAAGGAGGAACGGTTTGGGACAGCCACATGTTTGTGGACTGCAGGAAAAACTGCAGTCATGCAATCAGGAAGCACAGTGACCGAACCAGCCCCATGCACACCTTCCCTAAGCATGCCCCCGTCCGTGGGCCTTGAACGGCGGGTTGCCTATCCTCTTAGGACAGAAGCCAGATTCTAACAAGACCTTCAGACTGGCCTATGTGCCCATCCCCTTGCACCTCCCAGGTTTGCTTTGAATTCTCCTGTACCTGCTGACAGCAACATCCTTTTCATTCAGCTCTGTGCTTACATCACAGGATCTCTGCACACTCTATCCCTTACCCACGGGATACCGTTCTTGCTCAGTGCATCACCTAGTTCAGCGCCTGGGACTCTCCAGCTTCACCATATCCTTATCATCACTTCAGTTTTCCTCATGTGACAAGTAAGACTAACACCCCTCCTCTTGTTTCCAGATTGCCTGAGAACATTAGATAGCTTCTCAATGGCAGACAGAATACAGATAGCTAGTCTGGCTTTCCCATGTACATCCTGTATTGAAAAGACTAGGAAGTTACAAACCTACAATTCCTAGGCTCCCTTGTAGCTATGTTTTCAGATGGCATAGGGATCCTACCAGGCATGTGTCTGCTTGCAGGCACTGTGTAGAAAGCTGAGCAGGGAGAGGACTGGGTAGGAGGTATACGGCCTATGTGTGCAGTCATAGTCCTATGGGCCTGGAGTCAGCAGTACTGATACCTGGCTTAAAGCCAACCCTTCTGGCCACAGCTTCCTGACTATGGCAGAAGAGGACGATGTCTCTGCAAGCCATTTTGGGGATACAGTTGTGGAAGTCATCCTGAAGATCCAGCCTGATGCCTGTTCCTCCATTAACTCCTTTCTGCCTGAACTTCTCAGTTTATCTGAACTGAATTCTGTCTGACAGACGTGAGAAATTGCTTCTTGAACTACAAACTGCTTTGGAAGCGTGGCTTATGCTCATTAGGGCTCTTGAATTGCCTCCTTATTTAATCCTACAATTCAGAATCAGTGAAACGTGCATGTTTCTGAGTGTCAGTCTGCAAGTCAGCTCTCCTTTGATAGCCTTGTTTCCCCCTCCCTGGTAAATGGGAGCAGTCTGGGGTTTACCATGTGTAGCCTTGGTGGAGGATTTGCTGAAATTGAACATCTCTTAACTCATCTCCAGGAAGGGCAGAGACATTCCTTTGAAAGGTGGAAATCTCAAGTCATCCTAAGTGATTGCACACGCCTCTCTCCCTTTGACAAATGCATCCTGTACCCTTGATGCTGGCTCATTCTTCAGTCATTTCCAACTCTGTAGGGACAGGAAGAAAGGAAGCAGGCTTTGGTTTCTACTTATACTTCTCATGACCCAGGGCTGCCCATTCCTGCCCGGGGGATGACGGTCCCAGCTGAGGCTACTGGGGCGAGTCCCACGGGATGACAGCATGGAGGTCTTGCTTCTTCAGCACATTTTTTCCTCTGGGTGTCTGAAGATTCTGGCTCGGCTACAGAGAAGAGAGCTCAGCTGGAATGCCCGGGGTGTGGCATTCATGGGCTTGAATGGAAAACCTAAAGCTCAGAGGGAGTGTGGGTGAGACCAAACTAACATCACATCACCTACAGCAGCCTTGGGCCTCTGATTATTTCCCAGCCCACTCGACCACTCCTCGGATGCTTGCAGCAATTGCCTGCAAGGATTAAAGGGTCTCTATAAAAGGAAGTATGGGAAGGAAGGGGTGAGTAACACTACTCACCCAGAGCCTGGAGATGAAGTGCAGAGAAGTGTCAAGAGCAAAGAAAGACGAAAACAAATTGCAGTCAGGCCTGTTGGCACAGTCCTGCAATCTCAGCTACTCAGGAGCTGAAGCAGGAGGACTGTGAGTTCCATGTCTGCCTGGGCTACAGAGCAAGTTCTAGGCTAGCCTGGGCAATTCAAAGTGATCCTGTCTCAAAAAAAATGTAAAGGAAAAGAATGGTTGGGGGTATAGCTGAGTGGCAGAGTCCTAGCCCTGAGGGGGGGGGATGAGAGGGGGGAGGGGTGTCTTAGGATCTCCTGCACTATCAGGAAGAAAAAATCCCTGTGCTGGCCTATGTAAAAGTGAACTTGTGTTCTCCCTGGGTAGGAAATGTCCCTTTTTATCCATGTACATGATGTGACTGGCTGTGGAGGACCAGGTCCAGGACATCCCTCCTCAGACAAGGCTCAACCCTGCTGACTTGGGGACAGGATAGCTGGGTGCAGGAACCAGCTTACCCCATTTTCATCGGAACCACCCCAGCCAAACTGGTCTAACATGAATGACTATTTGATGAAAGTTATATACTGAGTTTTAAGAATGAAACCAGGGTCAGGCAGGGTGGTATATTCCTTTAATCCTAGCACACCAGAGTTAGGGGTAGGCAGATTTCTGAGCTGGAGGCCAGCCTGATCTACGAGAGAGAGAGAGAGAGAGAGAGAGAGAGAGAGAGAGAGAGAGAGAGAGAGAGAGAGAGAGAGAGAGAGAGAGTTCTAGAACAGCCAGGGCTTCACAGAAAAATCCTGTCTCAGGCGTGGTCTGGAGAAATTGCTCAATGGTTAAAATCACCTGCTGTTCTTACAGAGGACCCAGGTTCTGTTCCCAGCACCCATATAGTGGCTCACAACCATCTGTAACTCCAGTTCTAGGGAATTTGATGCCCACTTTTGTCCTCTGTGGCACCGAGTATGCACACAAGCAAGCAAGCAAAATGTTCATACACATGAAATATAAATAAATAAATCTTTTTTAAAAAATTAAAAGCAAAAACAAAAAAAAACAGCATCAACAAGACAAAACAACAAACAAACCAAAAGCTGGAAAGCCACTGAAGGCTCCAGGCTTCTGGAGTCCCAGTCTGTTGTTTCTTCAGCCACCGTCTGTTTGGACCCCCGTGAGGTTTGCACTGGGCAAGGGTACGAAGCTTGCACTGGGGTCTGCTGCAGTTAGTGCTAAGAGGTCTCCTTGAAAAGAGCCTCCCTCCCCACACACAGGAGAAAGAGAGTCAGGAGCCATGGTGGTGCAAGCCTTTAGTCCCAGCACTTGGGAGGAAAAGACAGGAGGGTCTCTGTGAGTTTGAGGCCAGCCTGATCTACTGAGCGAGTTCCAGGACAGCCTCCAAAGCAATACAAAGAAACCCTGTCTCAAAAGAAGGACAGGAAGAAGGAGGAGGAGGGGGAAGAGGAGGAAAGGGAAGGGAAGTCACTAGGGGATGGCTCCCAAGACATCACCTCCGCCTAGGCCTTGCAAGGTGAGTAGAACCGGAAAGGTTCCAGGCAGAGTAAATGGTGCCAGGAAGAAGCAGAGGCAGAAAAGCAGAGAGTGAATTAGAAGCCTGGCCAGCAAGACAGGGTACACAACAGAGAGGACGGTCACAGGCAGATGCTTCTCCCAAAGCAGTCTTAGCCAGACGCCTAGCCAGGAGTCATCCTAACCTCCTCTTCCATTCCTTGTAAAGCGAAAACGAGAACGGTGACGGTTTCCACTTGCCTCTGAGTGCACATGTTTTACTATGTTCCTGGGGAAAGCAGCTGCCCTTGAAGCGCAGAGGAGACGGCAGAAACCGGTTTCTAGCACAGCACTAGTTGTTTCCGGGCAGTGGGGTCGCAGAAGAACCCTTCCGACACTGCAGAAGGTTGTGTCTTTTCAGGAATCCCTGGAACCCTGCGGCTCACCACACTCTCCTAAGCTTCATGATACTCAAGCACAAACTTAGGGAAGCTAGAAACCCTTTACAATCGGGACTATTTTAAATGACAGTGTCATGTATGGACTTTATTTTTTTTTAATCACCATACAATGAAGTCAGGAGGCTGAGAAGAACTCAGCACGGCATCAAGCCAGTTGATGGTCAAGGTTCAAGTGCCCTTCAATCTGTGCTCTGACCTGCCACCCTCACGGTGGGCGGGTTGGGGCGGAGCAAGACAGAAGACAACTTTTGTCTCTTCCCATGATAACCAGTACCAACAGACGTCTTCATGAGACCAACTCTCAGATGAACATAAATTCTTGGCAAACCAAGCAGAAGCAAACTAAACACAGTCTGTTCGTATAAAGTGGATGGCATCTCCAGGTACACTATGCGGCTTTTGGGTGTGAACACGTGAACTTGGGGATGTCTTCCATTGGTGTGCTCTAAGCTGTTAAAAATAAGGCAACAATATAAATCCTGTTTAGAAGCTCTGGAATAACCTCCAAGATAAGTATATTATGAATAATGAAGAATTCTACATTAAACAGTGAAATATTGAAGAATAGAATAATATGATTTCATTTGGCTTACCTGTACACTAGCCAGTATATGGACCATCTTGGCATTTCCGTGGGATAGGGCAGGAAAGGTCATCTCAGAAAAAAAAAGATCTAGAGACACTAAGAGCGACAAGTGGAAGAGCAGATGAATTTTCACTACAATTGCTCATATACATGAGGAATTATTTATTAATTAAAGTGATTACATACTATGCCCTAGATATTTGATTTTTTTATTGTGAACTATTAAAAATTAGATTGAAGGTTTAGAAAGACACATGGGCACATTCAGGTTTGTTGTGAGAAGCCACAGGTCAATAAAGATTTTACTTTGTCCCCCAGCATCTCCCCCAGGCCCTAGCTGCTTCTTCTCAAATGCCTCTCTATAGAAGCTGTCTCCATGGCAGCTGGCCAGGGCTGCCAGGCTCCTTTGTGGCTCCCTTCAGGCTAGCGCTCTCTCTCTCTCTCTCTCTCTCTCTCTCTCTCTCTCTCTCTCTCTCTCTCTCTCTCTCTCACACACACACACACACACACACACACACACACACACACACACACACAGAATCAGATACAACTGAAGGAGTGGAATTTTCCAGAATCTTCGGGAACTTTGAGTGGCTGAGCCTTGAGAGCTCCTCAAGGCACTCTGTCAGTTTTTTTCCCACTGCCAAGAGGAAGGCAGAGGGGAGGCAGTGGAAAAGAGAATCCATCACTCCAAACGGAATGGAAATGAAAGCGCTGCAAAGCAAATAGCCGAAACTCTCACAAGTGTCATTCACGGCTCGAAAAGACTGTTTTTAGACAACATAATAATCCACTACAACATTTATTCTGTCGGCAAGATTATTACAGCACAATTTTCCCTTTCCATCTTTGGTGGCGTGGTGTGATTTCTCTAGTAGTCATCCTTTGTCTTTCCCAAGTTTGGGGTTAAGATTAATCTAAACGCTGACATAGGGGGAGGAGGAGGAGGGGGCACTGGCAGCCAACAGAAGTGTGAGAGGCGTCTCGTGCCTTCAGTGCTCTCGTAGGATCCCAAATGGTAGCTCTCAAGCATCTTGTTCTCAGCACAGACTCGTGCAGCTGACTATGTCCAGTTCCAGGCCTAGCCCACCATCCCTTCTCTGCCTTCCTTACATTAGAGTAGTGCTTCTCAACCTTCCAAATGCTGCGACCCTTTAATACAGTTCCTCATGTTGTGGTGACCCCATTCATAAAATTATTTCCATTGCTGCTTCATAACTGTAATTTTCTAGCAGGGGAGCGCAGCTACTCATATACCCTTGACCGAAGACCAGTCCTCCTCTATTCAGGGAAGGTCGTCCTCTTCGACCGAGCACGCAGCTTCGGGAGGAACACACATGGAGCGGTGAGGGAGGAAGGGACACCCGTCTAGCCAGCCAGATCAGCCGAATCAACCCTGGCCATCAATGGGGTGACAGATGTCGCAGCCAGATCGCCCTCACATCCCATAACTGTAATTTTCTACAGTTATGAGTTGTACCGTAAATACATGTGTTTTCCAGTGATCTTAGGCAACCCTGTGAAAGGGTGTTTTGATCCCCCTGTGTACTAGGGTCCAGTGTTTTCACAAAGCTTTGTTTGACCACAGCAACAACACAGTTCCTTTACTCGGTAAACATTCTTTTGCCTTTTCCAGCTGCTACCAGCTAAACTTATTTTGGTATTTGGATGCCAAACTCCCAAGGGATGGCAGGTGAAATGTTTTAGCCCGGCTAGGAAAGCCTAGCACCTTGGGCCATTCCTTGGGGACACTTTTTTGCCTACGCTCCTTTTTCTGCCCACCTGGTGTCTTCATGCAACTAGAGAAGGGAGCTCTCTGTGGACAGAGCCTTGGAGAGCTGACTGAGGCTGAACGGGAGCCAAAGGCCATGTTCTGAGACAGAGCTGGACTGCATCAGCAGCCGCTGCCTCAGCCTGGGCCCCTGTGTAAGACGAACTGATCACCCTGACGGCACAGTCCTGGTCTCCGTCCACCCAGGTCCACACAGCTAGCTCCCAGGCCAACTATGAGGATCTGTCACATCGCATGCTTCCTAGGGCTTCATCTGCTTTCTGTAGCAGCCGGGTTTTCCCATTCCTTGCGGTAGGGTTTGGTCTGGCAAGCTTTCCATGGTTCAAATGTTTTCCCTTAAGAGCTGAGAAACAAAAGCGTCAGACCTGAACCTCACACACGCGTGCAATGCCAGGTCCTGGCCCCAAGGCAGAGTGCAGAAAAGACCGAACCCTCTGTGGAAGGGGGAGCTCCGGGACGCCACACCTTTACGTCCCTCGTCTTCTTGTCCCCTCTCCACATCTCCACATCTCTTACTGTCACACAGCCTCTCCCAGCCACGTGCTGTGGAGTCCACGTCCCTTCCCAGCCTGGCTTCCCACAGCCTCCTTCTCGACTTTGTTCCAGGATCTGTGGAGCCCGTCTCCTTTGAAAACTTGATTTATATCATTCGTTAGCATAATTGAAGAACTGACTACCTTTGAGATCTGAGTCATCTAATCTAAAGGTATTTATTCATTTCCTGTCAGCTGGGACTGGTGTGTGTGTGTGTGTGTGTGTGTGTGTGTGTGTGTGTGTGTGTGTGTGTGTGTTCACCATTCAGGCTAAGTCCATGCACACACTCCACCTTGTCAAATATCATAGTGAAATAGTTACAGGTTTCATCTCACTGTCAACACCAAACACTTGGTACAAACGAGGCTCTCAAATACCTGGGGTGGGTTAGGATGAAAAAGAGAAAGAGTACAGAGGAACTTTAAAGAAGATAAAACACTAGAGTGGGTTAGTAAGCTTTGACGTTAGAGTAAGGGGAGGAAAGGCTTTTCCTTAGTTGCATTTAAAGCAGCACACGAGACCTTTAGACTCGAGTTAATTTCATTACATTATTACCCTTACGGTCTGGCACAAGAGAAGACGCTCACCGTCCTTGCTGTTCAAGCTTACTTTCATTTTTCTGGATTCCCACTTTATCTTCTTTTGTTTGAATCACTAGCATGAGTTCATAGCTTTAGTCATCGGTCCTGGCTAACCTCATGCCATTTCAAGTCCTCTGATCTGAACTGATTTCAAATCAGTAAGGCCAGGAGGAACCAGTACTGTGATATAACTCTGAACTGGGGAGAAGGCCCCTGGCTTCCGCCCGTATTCCCGCGGTCACAGCACTTCCTTCTGGGTCTTTCTCACGTGAAGCACGAAGTCCAGTGTACTGGGCGAGAAGATGCCTGGCTTTCTGGAGTCAGGGCATAGGGCACCCTGGTTGTTGACAACACCGGCTGCCAGAGTCCAGGGGAGAGGGCTGGCCGGGAGGATGGCCAGAAGGGAAAGGGAAAGCTGTGTGGGCGGCTGGGTGTGGGTAGACCCAGAAGGTGGTGTTGGAGAAGCGGGGAGAAAGGAGAAATGATCCCCGCTCCTCCTGGTACTTTTTAGCTTCAGCTCACAAGGCCACCTTCCCCTGAAAGGTGCTTCTTCCCTTATTAAGATGTCTTTGTTTCTTTTACTTAATTAAAAAAAAAAAAAAGGAAATATGAGAGAAACAGCAGGATTTGGCCAAATGAAAATCAACAAGGAATTCTGATTTTAAATCTTGAAACTTTTGTTGTTGTTGTGTTTTGGGTTTTTTGTTTGTCTGCTTGTTTCTGTTTTGTTTTTGAGACAGTGTCTCTCTGTGTGGCCCTGGTTGTCCTGGAAGTCACTCTGTAAACCAGGCTGGTCTCGAACTCACAGAGATCCGCCTGCCTTTGCTTCCATGCTAGGATTAAAGGCATGCACCACCCCCTCCCAGCACTTAAATCTTGAATCTTAAGTGTAGCTTCTTATCTTGGGGTGGGGGGTGTCACAGTCAAACACCTCTCAAACACTGAACTTATTACACTGAGTTCTGAGCAGACCGTGAGTGGAAGTAGAGTTTTCCCAAAGAAGTATGATCGTAAATCACTTCCCTCGTGGGCTGCTCTGTTGTTCCCTCTCATTTTCCTGATGAATGGAGTTGACTCTGAGGCTGAAGAGCCTGAGGTTGCTCTTCATGGCAGTTGACTTTCATGGAGACTGAAACAGTATCTATGTCATTTTTAAATAGGTGTTTGCCTGTATTATGCCCTCGTTCCACACGCATGCCTGGTGAGGCTAGAAGAGGTCATGAGATCCCCTGGTTGTGAGCCACCCTGTGGGTGCTGGGAATTTACCCCAGGCCCTCTGGAAGAGCAGGCAGGATTCTAAACTGCTGAGTTGTCTCTCTAGGCCCTAGCTCTACCATCTTAGGAACAAATGCAGGGAGTGGGGATGGGACAGAGAAAATAAAAAAAAAAATGAGTGCTTCATCTCAAGTTATTTTGTTTTACAATAATATCAAACAAGACCTAAGATGAGCCTGGCAAATCCTTGTAATCTTAGCCCCTATGAGGCAGAGGCAGAAGGATCAGGAGTTTTGGGCCAGTCTCAGTTAGATAGGTCATCCAAGGCTACATGAGATCCTGTCTCAAAAACAAAGAAATAAAACCAGGCCTAAATTCACCTAAAGGACAATAAAAAAGTTATTGAGGAAGCTTCTAGCTTTAACATCGATTAGAAGTCTTTCCCACAGTTGTGATAATCATTCCGACTAGTTCAGTTTAGGTCATGTGTCCACCTAGGAACCAATCAATAAAGCCGGGAAGTATGGTGCTGTCCTTGGCTATCTCTGGGTAGAACAGAATGTTTCATTTCAACACTAGGAGTGAGTGGAGCAACTCTACACAGAGTACGGCTCCCCACAAAAATAATCAGAGTACCACTCTTCTTTTTACATGTATTTATCTTTGTTTTATGTGCGTTTTTCCTACATGAACATTGTGTGGGGGTACTGGATCCCCTGGAACTGGAGTTACAGACAATCGTGAGCAGCCATGTGGGTGCTGGGAACCGAACCCAGGTCCTCTGGAAAAGCAATCGGGCCTCTTAAGCTCTGAGGCATCTCTCTCCAGTCTCCCTTAAAGAGGAGGAGTGGATATGGGATCAAAACTCAGTAAAAGTGTTTGATTGGAGGTTCAGGACATGCTTAATTATTAAGTAGGACTTTGTAAATGGATTGAAATTAGCTGAGAAAGAGTCGTTGAGAACTGTTACTCAGAAAAGGATTGCATCACATACCGGAGACAGCAAACTAATCAGGAAAACTGGCATGATACCTTTTTGCTGTCTCCACAGATTCTTCCTGAGTAGACCAAAGCTCCTCTTTCAACTCTCTCCACCCAGTGCTTCCCTGCTCCAGCCCTTCTCCAGCATCTTCAGTCAGAGTGGTGCTTCTCAACCTTCCTAACGCTGGGACCCTTTAATACAGTTCCTCGTGTTGTGGTGACCCCCAACCGTAAAATTACTTTTGTTGCTACTTCATAACTGTGATTTTGCTTCTGTTATAAATCGTCATGTAAATATCTGTGTTTTTGATGGTCTTAGGTGACCCTGTGAAGAGTGGTTCAGCCCCCCAAAGGGGTCATGACCCACAGGTTGAGAACTGCTGAGCTAGACTCCATAC